TTGTTCGTACATACCTTGTAAATTGTCCCAAATCTGCTTTGCCGTCGTGCATATTGTAATTGCCTCTTTTCGATTGTCGAACATATCAAGCTCATAGCTTTTGCGTTGTCCTTTACCCACGCCTTAACTGCCGATATGTTTCTTTCGCCATCCTCGGTCTCGGTCATGAATCATCTATTAGATCGTTCGGACCATGCGCCATGAGCATCTGCGTAACTTCGATAATCGGAATCATTAAATTTTGTGATGACACTTCCGTAAATTTCTTCCATCATTGTCATAATAATTGCCCTCTCGGCCACACAGCATGCACGAAAGATTCGCTACGAGGCACACAAGTTAGACGGTAGACATGGTAGACACACGTTAATGGTGGCTCACCACTTATCGCTGAGTCAGTCTCGATTTTTCGCGAATTCAATTTTCGTATATTCAATCGTTCTGGGCCCGTAACTTGTTGGTTTTTGCGTATTTTGGTAAAGTAGAAATCAAGCGGATGTAATCGTTTATGCTGACCCAACACAATTTATTTATATATACAATATTTCTATAACTTATTTCTATAATCAGATGCGAGACGATTCTATCGATTCGACGGCTTGTGGAAGAAGAAGGATACGCGGAAAGAATCGATTATAGATCCTGACGTTATATATTTCGTATACACATGTGTGGTAATTACAATCCTTGAGTGTCACATATACCACGTGCTCCAATAAACATATATGTACTGGATGTCCCAGATCACCCGTACCACCCATTTAAAAACTAGGGAAGTGGTTATTTTAAAATAAAAAATATTTATTTTATAAATTGAGTACGCTCTATCAAATGATAATATTTTCAACTTCCGGTTCCGGCCGGAAATGAGCGATTAAGACCTGAAGTGATTTTTTTTTAATGGAACGTGGTATTTTTTATTGCAGATTCTTGTAGCTTATCTCGAGAGCTTTTTAAAACACTATAATAAAGTATTTTTTATTGTTTAAAAAAATACATTGTAAATAATTACATACTTTTTCTTAAAAACAATTTTTTTATACTGATCGATTTGTCTCATTATTCTATACATAAAAGTATTACGGTAAGATTATCGAAAACTAAATATTTTACGAGATATTTTATTTTTTATATCAAAATATGTCAGATTAAAATATAAAGCAACTCAAAAAGTACTTAATGAAAAAATACTTTGTTATAATGTTTTGAAAAGCTCTCGAGATAAGCTACAAGAATCTGTAACAAAAAATATCATGTTCCATTAAAAAAAAATCACTTTCGGTATTAATCGCTCATTTCCGGCCGGAACCGGAAGTTAAAAATATCATCATTTGATAGAGCGTACTCGATTTATAAAATAGATATTTGTTTTATTTTAAAATAACCACTTTTCTAGTTTTTAAATGGGTGGTACGGATGATCTGGGATACCCAATATACAATACAATATACAAACTGTCTGGTAAAGATTGTGCCAACGCTCGTGAGCAGATAGAATACAGTAAACTGAACAGAAAAGTCCTGTACCATTTTTTTCTATAACGCTTAATATAAGAGTTATTATTGAGTCAAGTCTGGCCAATCAGCGCTGTGTTGTGCCTCTAGCCGCTAAGGAAGAGGTCTTTAGGGATTTATACGCCCAAAGGATTAGGATCCACGCTCGAAATAAGACATTTCCGAACGTTAGGTATAAATTGATATATTTCACAGATTCTCTTGTACACTTTCATTTAATCGCGATTCTAATAATCGGGCGCGATACGTACGGTATATCGATACTGTTGATATGAGCAAGCGAGTAGCCGGCGTCGGTGCATCTCGCGCTTATTATATATCTTAATCAATTAGGTCGTTGATTAGGGAGGAGTGTGGTGTCCCTGACCGGAGCATGTCTCGTGCTCCGCTCGTCAGCTGTCTCGTCAGCTGCTTACTCAGCTTCCGAGAACTTGACCGTGACTTCCTTCTCTTTAGTCACGTATCTTACTTTTATTTTATTAATAATCTTTTATTACTTAACTCTTTCTTAATTATTTTTCCTTGATCTCTTTTCTAATATTTTAATGCTTTGCTTTATTCAGCTCTTTCTTAATTTTTTGTTTTACTTTATTGTTTTATCTTTTAATATATTAGGAAATTGGTCGGGTTACGACATCGTATATAAAAAATTTAG